TCGTGAGGATCAGAGACAGGTTATAACCCTTTCAGGCCATCTGAATTGGTAGTTTGGGGTAGCTGGAATACAGATAATAGTTTATAAGTGTACTAGAATTTGAATGATTAGACCATAGTTAAGTTTAGTATTCGAAACAGATTAAAAATCCCGGTTAATCCAGGATTGATCCGAATCTGTAATTCGGATTAAATCCAGAAGTGATCCATGCCAATCTGACGGTTTGTCACATATATTTGTTACAATATAAGTAATAAATTCGAATTTATCATGTGACAAATGCAAATTTATCACTTATATTGTGGCACAAGGTGTGATATATTTGAATTTATCACATGACAAATTCGAATTTATCACATAGAGTGATTATATAAAGACATGACCTAAAATTAAGCCTAATTCCACTCAATTCAGGCCCAATCTGACGTTTTAGAGACCAAACCTTATCTGATGGTTTGGATCTGCACAAATCCGAATCCAATCCATGCTGACTTTTTTTAAATACTAGTTAAGTTAAAATGTTATGAAAAGATTGATAAAAACAAAACAGCTAGAGAACACTTCTACTATGAAAACTGGGATGCAAGTGGTGGGCCTCAGCCTATGTATATCAACTGAAGTCTAGGTCAGCTGGATTGTGAGTATGAAAGGCTCTAGCAAGTTTATCTTGAGAATAAAAGGTTCAATAAGAGCCTGCTTGAAAGTTCTAAGTTGGGTGTATAAAATAAGGAGATACCATGTATTCTTGCTTGATTAGATGATTAATGTATATAGCAATATATGTATGGTTTGGTATACTATACTGTAAAAGTTAACAATAATCAAATAAAAGAAGACGACCAAGAGGTCACCTTAACACCAAAAAAAAATAAAATAAAATAATTTTATTTAATAATGGTATCTCATGATCCAGTAATCAGAATTGAATGATTTTACCACCATTCAATTCGCCTCGATAAGACGAATCGAATGGTAGTAAAATCATCTGATTATGATCATTGGATCACAAGATATCACGTGTGCGTCATAAATACCCATACTCACCTTAAATCATATTTAAAGTTTCGGGTTTTCTTTTAGCGACACTCAAATACTTAAATACTCGATTATCTTAGTACATTGATTTCCAATTTTAGATATGAAATTTCTATCTATAAAGTACATACAAACCTAATCCACATAACTATTGTTTTGGTGGACAATTACATGTATGTAAATTAGAAATCAATCTTCAATCAATGTGCTAAGGTAATTTTAAAGGAGAACCCAGGAGAGATAGTGAATGCTACAATTAAAAACAAAAAAGGGAGATTTATCCGTTTCGACCAAATTGAACGTCTCAGTCTTAATCTCCTAATTTGTGAAAATTTACTTGACGTTATAGTGTTGTTAAAAAGGTCACAAAGAGTCGGTCTTTGAGTTTGACTCATAACTATGAACAACATTATTTGTTTCCAAAATTGTTCCAATATTGAAGAGCTAGTTAAGAACTACGTACGTACGTAGTCCGATCTCATTTAACATTCCGAATCATATGCATAAGCCAAAACTTTTGATCGACTGACTTAATTTTGGAGCTGAGTTTGACCAGACAAGACTTTTAACACACCTAACGTTATGCGGGGGTTTATTGTGAACCAAATGAATAGTATTAAAAGGTTTGACAGTAACAATAGAATATTAAAAAGGAATTTTAGTGCAACATGACTCCTAAAAAGCTATTTATGTAAGTTTTGTACGTACGTACGCACGTACTTATGTACGTACGTTTGTGAATGTTCATTTTAGATATCGTATCTTTAAAACAACGTATTTGCGTACGATAACCATGAATGAGCCTCGAACGCCTCCTAATAATGTGAATGAGACTCATCAAAGCTCTGCGAATATAGTAGTAGTAGACCATGTAAAAGCAGATGACTTTTGTACTTCATTATGGTCAAATGTTAAAGAACCTGAAGGATGGGCTAGTCTTGCTTATTTTATATTTTTTTCACCAATTTTTTCTGGATTTTGTGCAGTATGGATTTGGGTTACGTTTATTATAGCAATTCCCACTTTAATTTTTCCACCCCTTGGATTTTTCTGGTGTATATGGACCGCTTGGAGCTGGAGGTATTCAATTTAATTTATCTTGATAAATATATTGTTGAATAGATAATGTATTGTTATTTTATTGATTTTCTAATACCAACATTTTTTTCAGAGCACTAGGAAGAGTAGAAATACTGACAGCACAAACATGTACAAAACCCGGAAAATGTTGCACAGTTCATCAAGAAAATATATTACCACCGATACTTAGAACTTCAAATGAAAAAGTCGGACGGATAAGATTTGCCGTATCATTGTGTACAGATAAATATACTTGGAAATGTTTTATTTATTTTGCAATAATTAAACTTATCGCAATGGTGTTATTTCTTATTTCTGCCGTCTTTGTGATTATATGGGCACTTCCACCATTTACATTATTGGGACTGCCATATATGTGTCTTGCTTGTAAGAAAATGGGTGAATTACAAGTTTATCTTACTAAAATTTGCTTGACTTGATATATGGCTTCCATATTTACTTTGTAATTAAAATAATCTATAGAAATAACTAGTAAAGATAATTCTCATGTTTAAGATTCTAATATTGGTTTTTTTTTTTACAATACTTAATCTCATAAGAAGTTATATGAAACAAATTAATAAATTAATTGCTATTTTACGTATTATATTCAAGTAATATCTGGAACACAAATGGAAAAATGGTATTGAAAGTTTTGTGCCTAATAACATTAGCAACATTCATATTAAACAATATTATTTTAAAAAGTAAGATTTAGACTTGAATGTAGTATCTTGAGCAAGTCGTAATAACACTTGAATCAATAACAGACAGTCAAACCTTTCGTTAATTTTTTTTTTCAGCAAAAATTAGAAGCCAAAAGACATGGCCCAACCTTTTTTACAGTAGTTAGGCATCATATTTCCAGTTAAGGTTGTAATTAGGGATGTTATGTAGTCTGATCTAAATTAAATAGACCGCAGTTAGCCTTAAGACCAGTCTGGAGGGACTGAGAAAAGACTAGGACAGTCTAGACCAGTTAAGTCTTAAGAATATGGACTGAAATGAAATGGACCAGACAGGACCAGATTAGACTGTTGTTAATATCCTCAGTTGTATTCAGTGTTGACCTATGGCCTATTTGCTAATTATAGGTTATGATCTTGTGACTTGTTATGACTTATAACATTTACTTTATATTATAACCATCTTGGTCATATAAAGTTGAAAAAGGCCAGCCTTAAGTAACAGAACGTTACAATTAGGATTGTAAACTTTAGATTTCAAAATTTTGATGTAATTTAAGAAGTAACTTAGAAGAAATTTTCATGTGCTCGCTTAGGTTATGACGTAAGTTTACAACTCTATATAGTTATAATCTGACTATACTTTATTCACTTGATTATTAAATCCAGTTTGTTTATTATAACCTTTCTTGATACAGTAAATGGAATACTTAAAACAAAAGGCATGAGTGTTATTTAGACAAGTTAATTAAATTCTTTTATGTTGAACTAAATAAAATGAATTCGAACTTAAAACAACGAATCAGCTCATGTTAAAGTAAATCGGATATAGCATGGAATCGACTCTTATTTCGAAATAACACACGTGCATACTCGAAATAACGCGCAGGTGGATGTTATTTCGCGACGATATGGCATGTACGTACGTACATGAACTTTTGTGACAAGTACCGAACTGTTTTTATATAATATTTTTAGTCATATTGGACTATTCAGATCACACGTTTTCAATCTTATTCACATTTCACCGTATAGCCCACCTACGGTATGATGTATTCACTATAAAATTACTAGTGTATACTTGGCGATTTTCATATATAAAGTTTTTCTGTATGAATATACCCAAGTACCTTACATTTCACGAAAATTTTCGTTAGAGGTTACTATAGTTCGTGCCATAATAAACGTCGAATAATTCCAATTTAATTTATTCTCGGAAAATACCATTATTGCGTAATTGTCTGGCAAAATTTAAACATTTATTTTTTCACTTGAGTGAAGTATGCGTTAAATATATTTATTTCATTTATAAAAAAATATCTGCCAGTCTCTTAAAAGATTTCTTTTTAATTTAAGTTTTATCTCCATAATAATCATTCTTGAATAAAATGAAATTATTCTTTAGTCTTAAAATAATAAACTTTTTCATCACCAGTTCTTGGTACACCAAGTTCTTCAAGTTTATGAAATGCTGCTGCAAAATCTTTGAAAAACAACGCTTCATCTTTTGCATATTGTTCCACGTATTGTTTAAAAGCTTTATCCTAAATTTAAGTAACAAAGATAATTGTATAGAATTACATATATATTATGTATGTATGTGTGGATATAATTTGGTTAAATAATATAGTAATATACCTGAATAAAAGCGAGATCCGCGGGAAGCATCATGAGTTCACCTAGATAAAAAAAGAATTCCATTTAATAACTTCATTTATCAATATAATTAAAAGAAATTCTAGTATACCTGTTTCCTTATCAATAAATTGTTTTGGTCCTTTCCATTTTTTTTCTACCCACTTCTTTCCTAAAAGCTCTTGGTAATATCCATTGGTGAACAATATGGGGCTTGCGATCGTAAATGTATGGACGCAAAATGTAAGTTTAATGATAAAATATTATGTGCCAACTTGTTATTAAATGCTTAAAGGTTTAATGAAACCATGTTTTTGAATCAAAATTTATAATTTCTTTTGTTCAAACTTTGATTTCAAACCTCGGAGTCCATGGTCCCTCAAAACCTGATCGATCTGGATGACATCTTCCAAGGGCGTGCGCTCCAGCAAGTGCGACGATTTCTCTGTTTTTTTTTTTTTTTTTTTTTTTTTTAAAAAAAAGACAATTTAGCTAGTTTTATACGATTATGGAGGAAAGGTTTGTTATAAGAATATTTTGGATTGATCATGACTACGATCTGATAATTGCGTGGTAAAGTAACCAAAAAGAATTTACATGTAAAAAAAAAAAATTATTAAGATTTGTTATGAAAAGATATAAAATTACCGATCATCAAATCCCATGCGATAGAAAATGTCCCGAATATGAGATGGTCCTTTAGACGCATCAGGAAGACGACCATCTGGTGTACAAGCCGCAGCCTCGGAATCTTTACTGTTATCATCAAGTCAATAATGCAGAATGATGATGAAATTAAAATAACTATACTTAATGATAACTTATTCATATAACTTACCGTCCGGGTATCCATGGAATTTTAGGCCCTCCCTATAAAAGAATTTAAAGGAATGAATATATTGTATTAGTATTTATTTGAACACACTTATTATTTATAACTCACCATCTCTTGAATAGCAACAACACCCGCTAAAGTCCATAGATCTGAATATGTTATTTCAGGATTATTTTTTTTAATATTTTCTAGTTTCTCTCTCGCTGCTTTTAACCCAGCATTTGCATCGTGATCAGATTCTGGTGAGAATCTCATGGTAGCACCGTTACTACCACCAGTTTTTGTATTTTTATCATAAGTACCAGAAGCATGCCATGCTAAACGAAGTAGAACGGGTCCCCATGAACCATCATCCCAATCATTATCTTCAAGAATATCAGCAATTTGATTATAGATTTTTTGATAATCAGGTTCTTTATTTGTAGGGACAAGAGTTTTTACTCCAGCTTCGGGATAAACGAAATAATAATAGCCAGCTCCTGCTGCAATAAGACCAGCACCAATCCACAATAAAGCACTACTCCCACCCTTTTTTTCGGGGGTTTGAGTAGTGTAACTGCGAGCAGAAGGGAAAATTCGATTACGAAAAGATACAGAAACAGTCGAAAGTGGCGTCATTGAACCGAAGACAAATGCTGAGGTCTTCGGTGCTTTTGCACGTGTAGCAAAACAGCGGATGAAACGAGAAGAGGACATGTTTAATTGGCCTATCTAATTGTTTCTCGTTTTTGTTCAATTGAAAAAGAATTAAAGAATTGATGGCCCTTTTTTACGCTTTTTTTTTTTTTTTTTTAACCGATTACTAATGCAAGATGTTTGTACTACGACAAGGCCAAGCTTCCCAAGCACAATCGAATAAGGAAGTCAATATGAATATTTTTGCCAGTATTAGTAATATAAAAGAATAAAATACAGAAATATAAAACACGGTTCTCTAACGGTTCTCTAACTGAGAATTATCATTCTGCATATATATATATCAGTATATTCGCATTAGTAAAAAACAAATGTTTCTAAAATGAAATGTGTTATGTAACACCGTAAAAAGTTCGGTTGCAGTCACTGGCGTTTTGAAAGAAACCAATGCAATAACCCGAGATTTTTCTGCATATTTAACCGTTATAAACTGGAACTCTTCATAAAGTATCCGGAATTTTTTTAGTCTGATGCTTGTGCCAGCAAATTCCAGATCTTGTTTAAGAAATGACGGAATCGCTCAATTTGGATAACTAAATACGTACAATAATGATACGTACGCATGTTTTATTAACTGTTAATTCATTGGAACTAACGCTAGTTACGTACGTACGTACGTACGTACGTATAAAAAAATTTGTGTATCATGTGATTTTAAATATCTAACGGTTTACACAATCGCGTGACGCCAAGAGGAAACCAGAATTCAGGCTTTCAAGTTTATTAATATATATTTATTATTTACCGGACTCAGTCCTAATCATATATGTTGTAGGTCAGGCTGAGTCCGATAAATAATAAACTTGAAAGCCCGAAGCCTTGTTTGGCGCCACTCATATTTGCCTACCAGAATCGAATGATTTTGATACGTACGTACGTATGATTCTTCTCATCGAATGATAAGTACGTATTAAAAAGAATATCAATACTGTGAAACAGTGCCTAAATTGACGTACCGATTATAGTCGAATGATTAAATTTTTTTTTAACCATAAGGTGTTTAAGGCGGGTTTGTGAGATAGCATCTTTAACATATGAGTGCTGCTAAAGGAAACTAGGAACCTAACGTCATCAACCTAAAAAAAATTTGCTATTAGTGTTAGGTTTTGGGTGTATTTTTTATATTGGACTTGAACTCATTTTGTAATGTATATTAAAAGATAATTGGATAAAATGCACAAGGGGAGGGATTTGTACCAACAATTTTACGTAACATTGCAAATCATGTCTCTTGATCTATGACCGAGCTGTCAAACTATTGGATCGTAGTCTATATCAGTTAATTTTAAGCTGCAGTATAAGGAAGGGATGGTAAATGACCTGGTCATTCGATCAAAATCTTAATGACCCCCCAGGTTATAGGTCATTAGGTCATTTACATATATTGGTCGAGTTGGATGATCTTTAGTATAGGTGGGCAAATATAATTATTATACGTAAAAGGATTATTATATAAAAATTATGGGTGCTTCTAGGCATCTAATTGC